TCGAAGCATATTGTAAAGTATGTGATAAATATATAAATATAAAGTCAGGAAAACTGCAATTAAAGAGACACCTGGCTAGAGACGGTCATAAAAAACTGTCTGCATCTCAGATAAAACAAATTAAACTAAGTTACATGCCGTCTATGAAAAATTCCAATACTTTAAATATTGCTAAAAAAGGCAGATATAATGTTAGGAACTTTTGTAGCGCAACATAATTTGCCGTTTACTGTTACTGAGCATTTGCCACAATTGATAAGTAGAATTTCTAAAATCCATCCTGATATAGCTGATAATATCAAATGCAAAAGAACAAAAACTACTGCAATAATAAAAAATGTTATTGCCCAAAAAAAATTGATTAATATTTGCGAAATTTTGAAAAATACATCTACGGACAGAGGTTGCACAAAACACCTCTCACTTGTGGTGAGATATTTTTATAACGGCAGGTCAGTATCTAATTGAATGCCTTGTATGTTGTTTTTTAGGGTGAATGATACATTTTTGGCCTTAATACCAATGAAAGGCCAACCCTGCTTAAAATACCCCATAGAGACCTATATAAAATAATCTATCGGGCGCTACCGTATTCAATATGTGCATTTGTCCATTGTTTTTTTTTCCGGATACGGCCCGATAGAAAATTTATAGGAAATTACCTATAGGCACACCATAACTTTTACATTTTCCCTATTGAGACCGATAGCAAATAACTCAATGAAGGATATATAGGGATATCCCTATAGAACAACCATAAAACATTTGACAAAATTTTATTAAAACCTATGGGGTCCTATGGGAGAAAAACTAATTTCTACATTTATTTGTATTTTCCCCATTGAAACCAATAGCAAATAAATCAAGGGTGGATATCCCTATAGAACAACCATAAATCCCAACTACGGGTCCTATACAAACCGATACACCCTATAGAAACACCATACATTCCGATACAAATATCTATCGGTTTAAACAGGGTCTCTATGAGATATTTTAAGCAGGGAAGGCTGTTGATCTTTATGAATCTATAGTGAAATGCTTCCAACAATCTGAAATACCATACAAAACCAACATGCTTCTAATGGAGCCAATGTTATGTTTGGAAAGCATAATTCAGTGGTAACACATTTACAGCGTGATATTTCACATCTCCACGTATTCAAATGTATATGTCATAGTTTTGCACTATGTGCATCCTACGCCTGCGCCAAATTACCAAAAGGCATTGAAGATCTTGCGCGTGAAGTATTTAATTATTTTTCTAACAGCCCAAAACGCATTGAAACTTTTAAAGAGTTTCAAATATTTGCTCAAACAAAATTGCATAAAATTCTACACCCATGTCAGACAAGATGGTTGTCACTACTCTACATATGGTGGCTGATTGAGCAATATAATACTCTAATTTTATTTTTCACAGATTGTGCGGTGAACGATAGATTGTTGGTTTCAGACGGTACCTACTCCAAAAATTAAAGGAGCCTCTTACTTTTCCCTTTCACCTGTTCTTAGATCATGTGCTTCCACTTTTCAATAACATGAACAAGGCAGTGGCGTAGCGTAGTGGGGGCGGCAAACTTTCACAATAAATAATAAAAATATTTAAACCATTTCATATTTTTATCGCAACTACAAATTCGGACCGATTAAAAAGGAAATTTTCATTACTTATTCTGTGACGAATTCGAAAATCCCCTATATTTAAATGATATTTTGTAGCGACTGCTGGCAACACCGTCTATACTGACTTGCGGGGATTCCCCGTATTTTATTTTGTGCTTGGATTGTTTATGACTAATAATCCTCGAGAACGACTTCTATTACATATATAGGTATTTAGTTCAATATTGTTTATTAACGCCTGCATATTAATTGTATGTATTGTCCCTGTTATAACCTAGTATCTAAGTGGTTGAAGTAAAATAATTTTTGTATTAATAAACGTGATTGTAAAACTTTTTTATTTAAAATCTAACCTGTATAATCCAAAATAATGATGACGTTTTTACCAAAAAGTTTTCTAGATTTAATGTATGTAATGTGTAGTATACATTAAATTGAAATACCTAAATAAGAGGGCGGCAAAATTGTCTTCCGCCCCGGGCGGCCGACACCCACGCTACGCCGCTGGAACAAGGAAATGCAATCAACGTCGCCTCGAATCCATAGACTGCATAATAGCATGAGAATGCTTAACAAAACATTTCTAGACTTTTTTATTGTATGAGATGTAATTGAAAATAAATCTATAATAAATATTGACTTTAATAATCCCCAAAATCATAAACCTCTTGAAAACTTGTATTTTAAAGCAAAATTCACAAACTATTTATTAAGTCATAAATTAACTGATGAACAGTTACTTGTATTAAGAAAAAGATGTTTGGAATTTTATATTGAAAGCGCAAAACAAATAAATATGAGATTTAATTTTGATGGTAAACTTTTGAAACAACTAGCTATGATCGATCCAGGTAATTAAGGGAACTCATGAATCTATTGTACCTCTAGTACAACATTTCCCTCAAATAACAAAAAATAATGAATGGCGGATGCTGAGAAACTTTCAATTTGATAATATAGACGATTTTGATTCTTTTTGGAGAAAAATAATAAATAATAAGACATCTCCATAATAAACCATCCTTTCCCAATTTAGGAAAACTTGTGGGGGCCCTTTTATCTCTTCCTCATTCATCCGCAAATGTGAAAAGAATATTTTCCCAAGTTAATCTTTTAAAAACAAAGCAGAGGAACTCTTTATCCTCTTTATGCTTGTTTTAATATTAATCTTGATTCATCTTTAATAAATTTTCACAATAAAGATATATACAAGGTGTCAGTGGCGGCTGGTGGATTTTGTGCACACCCATATCTCAGTTATTAGACATGGGACCCACATCAAATTTATATGAGTTTATAATGACATTATATAGACAAGTTCTGCGCAAGCAGAATTTAAATTAAAGTTTGCGAAAAAAAGTTAGTTTTTAAGTGCAACCCCCAGCCTCCTGCCCCTCCAAATTAAGATAATTCAAATTAAAGTGGTACCATATTTAATTCACTGAAGTTTATCGACAAATTTCAAATTTTATTAAAAAAATTCAAGAATTACAGGTTTTATACCATTTATAATTTTTTTAAATTTAGTAAAAGAAATAAGAAAAATTATAAATGGTATAAAACCTGTAATTCTTGAATTTTTTTAATAAAATTTGAAATTTGTCGATAAACTTCAGTGAATTAAATATTGTACCACTTTAATTTAAATTATCTTAATTTGGAGGGGCAGGAGGCTGGGGGTTGCACTTAAAAACTAACTTTTTTTCGCAAACTTTAATTTAAATTCTGCTTGCGCAGAACTTGTCTATATAATGTCATTATAAACTCATATAAATTTGATGTGGGTCCCATGTCTAATAACTGAGATATGGGTGTGCCAAAATCCACCAGCCGCCACTGCAAGGTGTCCATAAACTTATTGGCATAAATTTAGGAAAAGATTGAGCAAGTCAAAATAAGACGAAAACCTAAATAAATATTTTTCCTAATTACTTATGTTTCCAAGATACAGGGTGATAAAGTGTTACTTATCATATCAGTTTTTTTAATATAACTTCTACTATAGTGGACTTGGAAAGGTGATATTTTAAGAACAGTCACTTACCTACTACCAAAACACATATTCACACATAATTACAATTGTTCGAGTGAACACAGTGTCGTAGAAACAGGGGTTGCTTAAGCTTATTGTCCCATACAAACTTTGAGGTTAGGTTTTTATTCCATTTGATGCAATTTTTCGATTACGCAGTTCGGCTACCATTAAAAAGGTGTACCTCTCAAACTTCGATAAAATAAACCGTTTCCGAGATATTCGAGATTACAATAATTGTTATTGTAAGTAACACTTTATCACCCTGTATCTTTTAAACATACGTAATTAGGAAAAATATTTAATTAGATTTTCGTCTTATTTTGACTTGCTTAATCTGCTCCTAAATTTATGCCACTAAGTTTAGGGACATGTCCCTTGTATAATAAAAAACATGACAGCATAAATCTTAGTAGAAGGTAGTTCAGATTCTGAATAAACACCTTGTATAATAAAAAACATGACAGCATAAATCTTAGTAGTAGGTAGTTCAGATTCTGAATAAACGTATTTTTTTTGTCCCTATTTATTAAAATTATAAAAACCTATTTGTTTTGTAAGCATTTTTTTTGTTTAGTTTTATTTTGAAAATAAATGAATTTATGTGTTTTATTTTTTGCAATTTATTACGCTATTCTTTTCGAAATCTGATAAAAATTTGAATTTTGAACAATCTACCGCTTTCTACCGTTTTTTAGTGGTACCATCTACCGCTTAAGGAAAAAACCATCTGGCAGCAATGGCTGGGATTCTGATTTTGTCCCTCCAGGGTCACAATTGACCAGTCGGCTCGAAGCACAATACCCGAATCAGAGAGTCTCTGACCCGAATGGTTCCTTGAATCATGCGGGTCTATTACTTTTTAATGCAGTGTTGCCAAACGTAAAATTAAAAAATGTACTACCTTTTACAGCAGATGGTCAAAATGATTTCCATTATTTAGAATGCAAGCTTGAACTCTGCAAAGCATGCTTTCGCCCACCCGCGTAAAAATGACTGAACTATTTATTTTATCAGATTAAATAAAAAACGATTAAAATAGTAATTTATGCAACAAGAATATAAAGCGACACTTTTTTGTACGTATGAGGAACTTTTAAACGATTCGACGGCCAGTTATAAACCGCTATAGTGCAAAAAAGTGTCTATAATAATTTCATAAATAATTACTAAAAATGTGAAGAAAAAATTTACATTTACAATTATTATTTTATTTTGACATGTATGTCAAAACTTTTTTTAAATTTATTTACGCCACCAAGGAATAATCGTGTAATTATCGTGTTACGTTTTTTAATGTCCTCCCAAGAATACATTTTATATTAAAATTGTGTTTTTTTAGTCACCAAAATCGGAACAGAAATCCGGTGGCAGCGGAGCTCATTTTGGCGGGGGAGGAACGAAGAAGGCGCGTGCGCACAGCGTGCCTAACGTAGTAGAGACATCACCAATGTTGGCTGTGACAATAGCGGTGGGCAGTGAGTGTGGCGTTGCCGCAACGAGCAGTGACAACGGCCGCAGCCAGAGGGCGTCCACTTCCACGGCTGCATCTGCGTGCAGCAGCAACACCACTAGTCCCATCCAGGGAAAACCAGTCTGTGATAAATCACTAGATTATACTCAAAGGACATCGTTACCTGAATTCAATAGTTTCCACAAGCCTCAGACCAACGACCCGACCATAGCAAAAGTAGGGATCCCTCATAGCCATAATCTGCAGGTAATAACAAAAATTAATTATTTATTTTTATTTTAATTTACTATTTTATTTATAGTAATACATTAGTTTATTTAAAAATATCTGTAGGACGGAACAATAGAACTGCACCGTATATTACTCTTATGATTTAAATTATCGAATTTATTGAAAAACTAGTTTGTCTTATAGGCAGAAAGGGGCCCTACGGTCGGCAAGGTGGCCATTGCGAAACTGATGCCGCACTCAACGTCAAAAAAGCAACAGCAGCTGCACTTTCAGCAGACTGCGGCTGCGGCCAATAAGAATACAAAGTACAAAGCCATCCAGCCTAAAATGGAATTATGTGATATTGCTTCGTACAACAGTCACGCGCAGCAACAGCAACAAACGCAGCTGTTCTGCGCAGACGAAAACAGATCTCAACAAGATGTTAGCGACATTGATAGTAGGTTTAAGGAGAGAAAGTTTGATGAGGAGAATGAGTGTGAAGGAAATGATTTCCCGTTGCCTAGAGAAAGACTTGAAAGCATTAGCAACGTTGACAAGAACGCTATGGACGAGTATTTAGGTAAAGGTTTTCTTTAAAATACAATAAGGTATTTATTATTTGGGTCAGCATTGCTGTAATCGCACAAAAAAGTCGATTTATTATATTGGTTGTGTAAAATTTTATTAAAAAAAAGTGTGTTTAAAAAATGTGTTGGATTTACTATTCACTGCGCAAAAAAAAATTATTTAGGATTAAGTCTTTTATTACAACTTTTTTTGATAAAATTATTATTCAATATTTTCTATGATTTCGTAATCTAACAACTCAGCATTTAATTCTCTTTCCCAGTCTTCTTCATTTGATTTGTACTCCAGGCAAACTTCCTCTCTCATAATATCGTTATTGGGCTCAGCAACTTCGTTTAAACTAATCTCATTAGCCTTTAATATCAAGCTGACTCTGTAGAAATAGTTCCTCCAAAAATTAATCTCTGAAATATTTGAGGGCACCAATTTGTATCTCATTTTTTCCAAATTATTATCTTGCTTCAAAACTGCAAATGCAACTGGATAGGATATATCGTAGTTGAACACATACTCTATGCCCTCTGGAGGGCTCCGCAGGAAATTCCGTTCGTCTAAGGAGATTGCTAAACATTCCTCTTTTATTCCTGTTTCATTGAGGCAACCTGCCCAGGGCGGCAGAGGGGTGGAGCTTACCTCCTTTTTATTCTTAATGAATGCCCTTTGTTCTTCATTAAATTTGGGTAGAATCGGCGTCCTCTTAAAAGATTTTTTTAATTGGTCCATAGTCATCTCAACTTTATCTATCAGTGTTTTCTCTTCAATCTTATTAGATTGAATGGCCATATTGGTTTTCTCTATTGTATTTGTTTGAACTTCCGTAGTATTTATATTTTTTTCTTCACTTGTTATGTCAAAGAATTTTGGTATATTACTACCTAGCCAATCGCCCATTTCTTCTAATTGGTTTATTAAATTTGTTGAAATATCATTACAATATGTTTTGTCCTGATTTTCTTCAGGCGTTTCAGTATTGTTCAATTTTTTAAGATTGTCCATCCAGGTACATACTTGATTTGTTAAATCAGTAAACATTTTAATTTTACTAGAAAAATACAGGCGATATTTTTGATTTTTCAGTTCTTACTGACAATTTTGATTTTAACTACCTGTCAAAATTGTGTTATTTTTAGGTTAAAAATAATTTATACAAAAATTATAATTATGTCTCCATGTTTATGTTGTTTATTTTTTTTCTATCATTTTAGATACAAATAATAGTCAGCATGAAGAGGAGTTATCCAAATATTTTGGCAACAGCAATGTTCAAAACGATTTATCCGACGATAGTAAAATATCCTATTTGCGGCATATGCTACAAAACGGAATAGTTGATACGAAACCCACCATAATGCAAAAGTTAAATCCTATTCCAGAAGAAAAATTCACAAACACTATAGTAAAACAGGTAAAATATTTTTTATTTTGTTTTGAAATAAAACAATCTGGCAATAGCGTGGAATCATAGCAACTACTCCCGAAGATTAAAGTTTCCGAGTGAGCCGATAGGCGAGTGAGAGAATTTATTGAGGGAGTAATTGCGATTCCATGGGAGGTAAACACTATTTTTTTGAGTGGAATCGCTTTCAAATACAAAATTTGGGTACCTACCCGCAAAAAAGTGTGTCAAAATTAAAATATAAAGTCATCATGGTAGCGGGAGGGAATGAAACATTTCAGTTAAGAAATGTTTCATTCCAACGGAATTAAAATATATACAGGGGAAGGAATAAGATTAAAATAATATAGAGTCAATCCAAATGAAAACACCAAAAATGAATTTAAAAGTGCGCTGCATGATATTTTATTTTAATGAAAAAATTTGAGAATGATCTTTTAGGTATCATATTTGAAAAACCGTTGCCGTTTTAATTTTTAGTTGCTTTATTTTTAATCGGCATCCTTTAGAAACCTGAAATCGTGTCATTTTCTTACTCTCTTATAAGCGGCTAAAACTTTTTTTCTGTGGCAATTATTGAAATGATTGTAATTTTATTTTACTGCCTAGTAAGTATGTTTTCAATATTAATTATTATTATCTAATTAGTTCATCTCATAAAAGAATGGTAAACCACTAAAGATTTGTAATAATTTGCCAATTTTTGTGATTTTTGTCTGGCTCCTGTGCCTATTCTGCTAAATCTAGAAAGTTGCTTTTTTCAGGTATCAAGTACTTATACAATAGAAAACGTAACTATTATTTTAAGTTTCTAGACTATCATTTTCTTTATTAAAAAAATTATTGAAACTTGATAATTTTCAAAATTAGCCAATTTTGCCCTCAGAAATCATTGTGTTGAGGAAAAAATAAAAATCTGAGACTTTCAGGAAATGTAGTCCCCACCTTCATCTTTTCAGTCTAGTCAGTCTTGTTTTGTTATTTTTATCCATGTAAAAGATATAATAATTTTTTTATTGCAGTTAAGAAGCCATATTGTTAGTTTTATTTATACCTAATTTAAAATTTAGATGGCTTTGACTTAGTCAATTCATGTTTGGTAGAGAAATGTCAGAACTGTCAAAAATATTTCATAAATATTATTTGTGCGTATTTAAATTGTGATTTCAAAAAGTTTGCAAGTGTAATAAATGACGGAGTGTTCGAGATTCATAAATTTAATTGCAATTAAAAATGTAAGAACATATCATAATTTTGTACCTCTCTCTCATAAAAAATATTCAAGTTCTAAGAAGTTTTAAATTGTTAAAAATAAGCAAAAACCCAAAAATATTCTAAATAAACCCCTTTATTATAACATGTTTTTTTTAACCAGTTACCTAAAAACTAAAATTTAAAGAAGTATTTACAGATTGTGTAATTTTTTTTCAACACTAACATTTAAAATACATACATATAACTTTTAACTATTCAGTGCCTTACTAAAGGGATCAAAATAATAGAACAAGACTAACTTGGTTTAAATTGTAAAAGAAACCGAAAAAAAACTGCTTAACTCATTTTTTATACGTTTAAATTAACTCTTTATTAATTTCACTTATTATACTTTACGATATAAACCATAAAGATCTTGAATATCACAGAATATATTTTTTACATTCTTCTTCTTTAAACATCAATTAGCCAATTAAATACTTCATTATAATGTATATAATACATAACATAACTACCACATATATCAGAACCAGAGCTGTCAAAGATACTTTTAAAAAGTATCTAGATACAAGATAAGTTACTTTTTGAAAAAGTATCCGAAGTTACTTTGGGTATCTAGTTACTCTAGTTAAAAAGGAACTTAAATACTTATCTTAAGTTACTTTTTAAGATACTTTTTTAGTTACTTTGTATTATGTAATAAGTTTCGTATAAACCGCCAAACAAAAATTCGTTCCAACCCCACCCTGATTTTTCAAATAATGTTAAGCTTACTTTTTTAACAATTTTTTTCAATAAAATCTAGTTGATTAAAACCATTGAAGGGTCTAATGCAAAAAGTGTCTAACTTAGGCACTTTTAAAAATAAAAAGAGATAAAATCGTTAATTAAACACCACTTAATTATAAAAATAAAAAAATTATCTCACACTTTTCATTTAATCTTTTTTAACATTTTTTTAAAATTTAAAATGGAAAACATACATTGAACATTACAGAATGTACGGTACAATGTAACAACCAATATCCTACATCAGTACATCATAAAGAAGCAAGTGCAAGTACTTACCTAACCTAACTTATTTCAGACTTACCACTATAAATTCAAGTCGCAACGAACGGAAACACCCTTCTACAGAGCGGGTGGCGAAGTCACAGATTATAAAAGAAGTATAGGTGAATAAAAATTAAGTAGGTATACCTACTTAATTTTTATTCATTTAGTAGGTAGTAGGTATACCTACTTAATTTTTATTTATTTTATTTATTTTTATACATAACAAAAATCGCCGCCAGTCGATTGGCGCCAGTCGCGGAAGTCGCCAGTATACTTATTATAATAACTTCGATGGCCGCGGCCGTTTCGAACAACTTGACTAAAGGAACTTTTCTTGTGGTATCTTAGATACTTTTTGGTATCTAAGTTACTTTTTGGTATCTAAGTTACTTTTTGGTATCTAAGATACTTTTCGGTATCTAAGATACTTTTTTTAAGTTACAAGATACAGTTCCTTTTAAAAAGTATCTAAGATACTAGATACTTTTTGTTAAAAAAATAAAGGAACTAAGATACAGTAACTTAGATACTTTAAAGTAACTAAGTTACTCTAAAGTAACTAAGATACTTTTTTCTGACAGCTCTGATCAGAACTGTCAAACATATTTCATAATTATTATTTGTGGTATTCCTTTGGTGATTTTAAAAAGTTTTGTATATAACATAATATGAAAAATGAAATATTATGTTATAAACAAAATTTACCAAAGAAATACGCACAAATAATATTTATGAAATATTTTTGACAGTTCTGACATTTCTCTACCAAACATGAATTGAGTAAAAGCCATCTAAATTTTAAATTATAAATAAAACTAACAATATCGCTTCTTATAACTGCATTAAAAAAATTATTATATCTTTTACATGGATGAAAATAACAAAACAAGACTAACTAGACTGAAAAGATGAAGGTTGGGACTACATTTCCTGAACGTTTCAGATTTTTATTTTCTCCTCAACATAATGATTTCTGAAGGCAAAATTGGCTAATTTTTTTCAGAACTTTTACGCAGTTGAAAAAATCGGTTGTACTGTTGACAGTCACTCTCCTGCTCTTGATCTCATTCCACACCTAAAATAGTTTTTAATTTTTGGTATCTTGAAACTTATTCGACTTGTGCGGCAAAATTTATACCCTAATTGTTAACAAAAATTAGGAAAAGCAGCTATTAAGAAAACCAGAAAACCATCACAGTTGCGCCAACGCCCTCAACAGCTCCTTTCCCATGTGAAGTTGCAAAGAAACTCCACTCCATACTTGTGATATTTAATTCTTCTGGTAAAAAACATAACGTCGATAAGGTGAACCTGTTTTTAAATTGGGCGGCACACCCATTGCTGAATACGCTAAGGTCTTTTACTTTATAACCAAAAAGTTTAATCCAAGATATTATTTTCTTCAGGAAAATATAAACAGCATATTTGTCGTGAACCAGATAATTGCTGATGATAGAAAAAGAATATACTTTTTCGGCTAGCCACGCCACCGCAGTAAAAATTGTCACTTGCTCGTGTTGCCATTGAGCACTCTGTATCTCATCTTGTGCAATTAGTTGAAAATTTTCGGCAAAATCGATCTGCAAAATGACGTCAACTATTTCAATGTTTTTTCTCTTGAAGTCAAAGTATTTTTGGTGTCATCTGTTTTTCCAACATTTAAATTGTTGATTCGATTGTTTCAAGCAGAATTATGATTTTTGTTTTGCACAGGCTCTTCTGGGTTATATTGCAAAGGTAAACAGGAAAATAATATATCAATTTCTTTGCACTCCGGACATTCATTCATCATACAAATTTCTCTTTCAACGTCACAGGTTATCTCAGAAATCAGCTTTTTATGATCATCCGGAAATGTTTTAAAGCGTTTGCTTCTAAAATAAATAAATTGTTTGAATGTGCCGTTTTTGAGCATACTCAATAATAGATCCATTTGTCTTTATTTTCACACGATATTTTAATCCAGGAGAAACTTTACTTATATCCTCTTTGAGATAAAAACTTTTCACTTTTTCAACTATTTCTGGGGACAATTTGTTCCACTGATTCATTGTTGTTATTATTTCTGTCTTTCCTATATTCTGAACTTTTAAGTTTGGATCTAATGATTCTAATATTTTTGTCAAAACACAATTTTTTTGTTTTTTTCTTTTGGCATCAACGTGTCTGCCCTTCTTACAGCTTTTCCTAAACTTTGTAGAGTTTTGAAGGGTATATTCTTAACAGTTTGCTGCTTTTTATTTTTATCGCATAAGCAAATGTGACATAGGGACAAACATTTTTAATATTAATTAAAAACTGGGCAAGTTGCATACTTGCGATATTAAAACTTATGTAATTTCCTTATTAATGGGACAAATATACAATAATAATATAAATTAAATTTCTATAGCAGTTTACTTACTTGCAAAAAAAATATTCCAAGCTTCCTTTAATTTCAAAAGTCTCCTTTAAAGTAGCAAATCTGTTTCATAATTGATTTTTAGTAGCTTTACGCAAAAGTCGACTTTTTCGTAAAGCTCCGAATTTGGTCATTTTTATCCAAAAGTCGACTTATACCTAACCTTTTGGCGTTTTAGTAATTTTTGCTTCTTTTTATGATCTGTGGTACGATTTTATTCCTAATTTGTGGGTACGATAACGATGAATCCAAATCGTTTATTTGACACGAGTTCAAGTTCTGCATCAGAAAGCGAGGAAGAAAATGTAATGGTTTTGAGAAGGAAAAAATGTATAGG